ATAAAAAGTTTTTGCAAAACAGTCATCTATATAAAACTATTTTAGTTCACCTTTTGTCAAAAAATAATGAACATTTTTTGCAGGTTAAAAAAAAAAAAAAAAAAAAAAAAAAAAAAGTTAATTTATGTTTTTTTGTTTTGGGAGGATGGAAAGCACTGCTGCACCAGCGATCAGCAGATCTCTGGTGCCATGCAGCACTCCTGCAGACCTGTCAGTGTATCTGTGTGCTCGTACGTCGTATGGGCAAGCAGATACACTGATAGGAAGAATCAATGAACTACCACAGTGCTCAACAGCATTGTAGTAGTTCATTGAGAACTACTAACCGACAGCTGTACAGGCTGTCAGAACTTGTAGCTTTCCCATTCACAGAATACTGTGAAATGAGTAATGCGGCTGGGCAAGCAGAGCTCCACACAGCCACCTATTTTTTTTTTTTCAAAATTGTGATAGCTAGCAGGGGAAGAAGATGCTCCACTACCTGTAAAAACAGGGGAGCGGGGGCCGGTACTTTCGTAACATGTTACACATTGCCCTGAATATGGGTGTAACATGTTACGAAAGATGAACTTATCCTTTAATTGTGATAGCCAGCAGGGGAAGAAGATCCCGCACTAGCTGTCAAAAAAGGGGAGCGGGGGCCGGTCGTTTCGGAACAGGTTACATATAACCCTGGATATCGGTGTAACATGTTATGAAAGATTAACTTATCCTTTAACACCTGAGTGATCATAAGGCACAGAGCCACTCAGATTGGCTCTGTGCCTTTTGCCTGAGATCTGCACTAATGACTGCTCAATCCCAGGTTTTGTATGCGTGTTGGGGGCATGCACAAGATTTAAACAGAACACCATTTTTAAATTGACCCTGCGAAACACATTTTAAAAACTTTATGGCAGTAGTGAAGTGGTTAAACTCTTCAATGATTTTGTTTTTCCCATATAACGGGAGGGAGATTACATTAAGAATTGATGCCTCTCGCCACATTTTCTTCTTGAAGTTGTGGAGGTTGTAAAGTATTTTGTGGATATTACATTATTTGAACATATCTTTTAAGAGCCCTTGTGTAATATCTAGAAAAATATACTAATTATTCCAGGCAGGCAGCCAACATCTTTATTTAAAAAGGTAATCATATTCCTGATCTCCTATGACACAAAACATCTAAAAGTGCATTTTCTGTTAACTATGTAACCTTGTAACTGTACAAATATACAAAAAAGGTACAACAAGCCATTTAAAAAAAAACAACTTTTTTATTGTTTGAACGTATAACCATACATTTTAGAGGGCGAATTTGTACAAACTGCAAGGATGCCATTACATTTGGTATCCGTTAACATTGCGGACTGTAACAGATTTGTATATACATACAAAAACCACACGCTTCTCATGCAATTATTTATATATAAAAACAAGAACATTTAATATGGACAATCCAGTTAAAGTTACATATAAATATATCTTTGAACTGAGCACTTGGTGGGTGGCCAAGCTATGGGGGGGCCTTAGAGCCAGGGAGTTAGTATAAAAGATGGCTGCCATTGCACTGCATCATGGGAGGCCAGTTTAGCACTACAGGTGGATACAAGGTACATGACCAAGTCAGTTTATACATCCACAACACTATGGGGTTGATTTACTAAAACTAGAGTGCAAAATCTGGTGCAGCTATGCTTAGAAACCAATCAGCACTTTTTTTTTTGTCAAAGCTTAATTGAAGAAGCTAAAGTTAGAAGCTGATTGGCTACCAGTCACAGCTGCACCAGATTTTGCACTCTCAAGTTTTGGTAAATCAACCCCTTATTTACCAACAGGCTTTAGTCTCCTTTCACACCGACGGTCCAATCGGACAATCCATAGCTCTCTCTGGAGCGGCAGGTGTCAGTGGACGTGTGTTGATACCTGCCATCAACCGATCTGATCCTGTACACTGAAAAACAGACAGATTGGGATCCGTTCCCCACCCATCCACCAGTCAGATGGAAACAGACTGGCGGTCCATTTCCATCAGACCGCCCCATAGAAAAAACAGTGGGCCGTGTCTGTGTCCGCTCTGCAGCAGCGGAGCAGACACAGACCTGTCATCCACTTGCTCAGTGGGATCAGCAGAGAAATCCCCCTGCTGAGCAAGCGGATCTACGGACTGGTCCGCCGCATCTGAAAGGGGCCTTAGGCTTGCGTCTCTGATGAGTTTTGAATTCCCATAGACTTGCATGGACAAGAAACCCATTAGATATGAAACGCCTGTGGACACAGGACCCAACGCTCCCCATGCCAGAAACAACATATATTTGGTATAGCTCAACAGTAAAACTTGATAGGACACAGTCATTATAATGGGCACACATGGTAACAGATGAGTGAAGCACATATGAGCCCCAATCTATTGCAATTTACACTGCAATAGCACTGAAGGTGTGTATTACAGTACTAAGGCATGCTAAAATGACACGCAGGGGGTTATTTACTAACGATGGAGAGTGCAAAAGAAGGCTCCCTTCTGCATAGAAACCAATCAAGCTTTGGCAATAAAACCTGGAAGCCAATTGAACAAGCTGAGGTTAGAAGCTGATTGGTTTCTATGCAGAAATGAGCCCCACAGTAAACAAACCCCACAGTCTTGCCTGAGAGGCCACCTTAGCACATTTTAACATACCCCAAGTGCTGCTTTAAGCTAGATTAAATCGGGGCCACCAATTTTTTGCATACATACTCCCCCCAGACTCACACTGAAAGCCAAAACGTGTTACTCCCTTTAGGTGTCAGAGATTGTCCTTTACACCCTTAAAACGCAAGAGCATTTGTCAGTCTTTGTTTGTAAAGGCTAGTCTGCGTGTCAACCTTTGTTGGAAGTAAATCTAGCCTTAGACAAAAGGCTTGCATCTAATGTGCATGCTTGTTGCCAGACTTAATGCTAGTTGCCTGGCTGTCCCTGGCTTTGATCCCATCAACGTAGTCCAGTAATGGCAGCCTGTATATTTTTCTAAGAACAGTTTCCTTTATTTCCAGATAATACAAGTATTATCTGGAGAGTTGGTTATAGCTTTGAACAAGCCAATGCCAAGGCTGCTTTAACCCTGCTAAAGCTTGTGTAAAGCTACAGCCATCACTCACCAAGATCTGTGTTTGACATTCCCATGGTTGAGGGGAAAAAAAAAAAAAAAAAAAAAAAAAAAAAAAAAAAAAAGGTGCTTCTAAAATCAGTGGTTCTCAACCTGTGGGTCGTGACCCCTTTGGGGGTCGAACGCCCCTTTCACAGGGGTCGCCTAAGACCATTGGAAAACACATTTCTGATGTGTAGAAAGCAGCTACTGTGTTGAAAGCAGCTGCTGTGCTGAAAGCAGCTGCTGTGCTGAAAGCAGCAGTATTGGAGGTAAAACGACACTTCATGAATTATAATTACCGGGTAAATAATTTTATGGTTGGGGGTCACCACAACATGAGGAACTGTATTATAGGGTCGCGACATTAGGAAGGTTGAGAACCACTGGCCTAAATGGAAATCCAGGTAAACTACTAAATAAACTGCTGCACTACATTTATATGTAAGGTTTGATATGCCTAAGGATTTGTTATTTTGTTCAGCCAGTCTTAGATTTTATACGAGACACTGAAAGGAAGGTCCTGCAGATTTTGCGATGCACAAAACTGGCTAAATAGAATTACCAATCTTTTGGCAAGTAAACAAAAGATATATTGCTCTAAACTAGCTATGTGCAAACTAAGACTGACAAATACCTGCGTGCTTAGAGATTTTATCGGCCTGACACCCAGAGCAGGGAAACTAAAGTACAACTTACAGGACCTAGAAGTCAGAAAGGCCCTCCAACAAGATATAAAAAAATAGGGACAGTTCAAAAATTCTTGACAAGGCAAGGACTTAATTGTTTTACTTTTTAACCCACCTGTGATTTCAGTGAATTGGCCATAAAAGGACACCTGTACAAGAAGAAATGAGGACAATCATTGCTGACTTCATGCTAAGAATACTAGTTGCTTGGCAATCTCTGGTTCAGCGGTGTCACTGACTTGGAGCAGACACACAGACTACAAATATCAGATCTCCTGATCTGCATACTTGTTCTGAGTCACTGACTAAGCATTGAGGCATTGAGGCCACTGGCCCAGCAGGACAGCCAGGTGACCAGCATTTTCAGAAGAGGTCTGCAGTGACAGCTTTCATGCTCTCTCAGCATAGGTTTCCTTTAAAGCAAATCTTTGGCGATAAAACTCATGAAAACAAGGTAAGAACATGTTCAGGAAAATGGGGGAACTAACCAGTCAAACTCTAGCATTCATTCTCCAACGCCTGGTAGAAAAATGACTGCTGAACTCTGGAGAAAAAAAAAACGATTTAACTTAATGTGATAAGATGGAGGCCTATAGGGTACAGTACATATCTGGCCTGGAATTCAGGGATTGTCAGATGGGTATTGCAAAAAAGGGATCGAACGCTGAAGGTCATTTGTCGGTCTGGTCTTTGTTCTTCTTGTTCAACAATTTCTGCAGGTTGGGGGACATGAAATAGGGTTTTTCAGTCGAGCCATCGTTGCGCTCCAGATCTTCCACTGCGCAGGAGGGAATTGGAACAAGTGAGCAGCGTGGCATAATCAAGTTAGGAAGAAAAAGGAAGGAAAGAGGCTTTGACAGATACAAAGAGCACTATAGGTTCAATGCGAACGCAGGTCATGCAAGAGTTAAAACAAGGCACTGGGTGTCTGTAGAATACATATATAATGTATTTTGTATACACATGGAGCAAGGTAAACAGAGATTAACCCTTAATTTCCAAGAGGTTTCAGAAGACCTCCGACATATATAAGGCCACAGTCCGTTGCACACCAATGGGTGTGGGGCCATCTCAAAGTGCCCTGTTCTCAAATCACAGCTCTCTCTGCCAGGTACAGCAGAGGGATTAGTAGTCAAAGAAAATATAGACGTTACTGGAACCCGTTTAGTTTCAGTAATGAAGGGCAAGCCTGGTCACCCTTGACCCATCAGCTTTGGCTTTCGCTGGGTTTTAGTAGTTCTGCATCTTTTTTGAGCAGAATGTGGCTGAGTTCCGGGGACATGTAGTATGGCCGCTCCAGGGAGCCATCGTTCCTCTCCAAGTCTTCACCTTGTTGTGTGTAGCCCCATCATCAAGTATTGGAAGAATAGAGAAAAACAGAAAAAAAAAAAAAGAAAAAAAGGGAAGGGTAGCAGACAAGGTGGAGTGGAGAATAAAGCGGAGTGATGAATCATGCGAACAGGTTAATGAGGTGCAGGAAATGGGGAGAAGAGCGGTTGAAGGAGAGTGGGGCAGTGTCAAACAAGACCAGCAATATGAGGGTTACAAGGTTCAGAGCAAACCAGTTAAAGGGTGCAAGGCAAGTCAGGAAAGAAAAGGGCATGGCAGGAGACAGAGAGAGAAGAAAAAGTAAGGTGGGCCAGTGAGAAGGTGGGCCAGTGAGAAGGTGGACATCAAGCAGGGTGAAGGACAATAACGAAAGAGTCAATGGGGGGTGTAGGCACAGCAGGAAAGGTAGGGTATACCAAGCAGGATTTTGGGATTAGATAAAAGTGGAAAAAAAATGGAAGAAAGAAAACATGATTAGTACAGGATAGGATAAAGACCTCTCACTCAGAGACAACCCATTCCTTCAATTAGGCCTCTCCATGTAGCACTTAATGAAATCTAGGTGGTAGATCCTCTTGTGTATGTATGTACGTACAGTATGTAGAGTCCTGCATGTGTACAGGTAACTACACATACAGTATATCCATTGAGACTCACTCAACAGAAGACATGTATCCACTCTTGTGTGCTGTACACCCCCTGTGACCGAAGGTTATCAACAGCCAAGAGGCCCAGAACCAAAAAGGACTGAAGCCATCCAAACAGGTGCCAATATCATATCTCTGCTGGAGGGCCCATTCCAAGGTCAACATGGAAGAGTCAGTAACTTGGGGCAGGGCTGTCAATGGAGTTCACCCAATTAAAAGTGGTGGACAGAAATTGTTAGACTGCAAGCTTATAGGGCTCCATCGCCCACATCCACCCCTTATATAGGTTTTAAAAAAAGAATTGCACAGACCAAAATACTTACAGAAACACAAGAAGAGCGTGTCCACACACATGCCGTACACACTGAAGAAACCATGTGCGATCAGATAAGAGCCAATAATCACTGTCTGTAGTGAGAGGAGAGTCTCATTAGCAGCCAGAAATGACACGTAAAAGGTTTAAATATTTAAAAATAATTTATGACTTCCATCTTCAATTTCTACCCAAGGAATATGATTATTTACAGTCTTGAATCAACCTAGAGCATTTTTCAATAGAAAATAAATATATATATCTCCTAGATTGTAAGCTCGAAAGAGCAGGGCCCTCAATCCCCTCATGTTTTGCATTGTATTGGTATTGTTCTGTCACATGTTCTGTCCCCCTCTGTAATGTACAGCGCTGAGCGAACTATTGGCGCTTTATAAATACTGTATAATAAATTATATATTAAAATGTGTATATTCTTTTTGGTAAAGTTTGAACAGAGTATTACAATGAAAGGATGAACCTATATCAGTATTAAAGCTGCAACGCCAGGCAAACCGCTTAATTGTTGATATCAACATATAAGCCCTATTTACCTGCAAAAGGATTAGTATTTCTCCATCATTTCTAAAATTTGCACTAATCTGGTGATCCACTGCAGGTAAACAATACAGCTCCGCCACATTTCTGTCCCTAGAGACAGTAAAAGTACAGCAGCTCACAGTGATGAGAAATCCCCCTGCTCACTCTGATCTCTCCTCCTGTCAGAATGTTCCTTGCCTGTTCATGAGCACTGCTGCACAAAATTAAATGTCTTCTAGTACTACCCCTCCCAGTACAAAATAATATCAAGTTGCATTAAAAAAAGTCAGTAAAGAGCACACCTCCAAATCTGTACATTAAATACAGAGCAGAACATACTCTAGAACCATGCTTTTGCATAAGCCTGACCTTTGCATGCTTAAAGTAGAACTCTAGGCAAAAACTTTTACTATTATACAGGATTTATATAACGCCAACAGTTTGCTCAGCGCTTTACAATATAACGAGAGACAATACAGCAACAATACAAGAGGGTTAGGAGGGCCCTGCTCTTTGAAGCTTACAATCTAAACTATTTTTTTCCCCCCATTTTGGATAGGATGAAGGAGGGTCATAACCCCGGTAAGTCTATTTTTTTGCCATGTGTGTCCCATTGGGGAGATTTCTCTTCACTTCCTGTCCCATAGCCAAAACAAGAAGTAAGAGGAAAACCCTGCAAACTAAGAGAATCCATTGGGGTCCCCCAGGTCACCAGAAGTAGCCCTTTGGAGAGAAAAAAAAAAAAACAAACTTCCTTCTATTACTTTCAGGGGACAACCCAAAATTTGGGATTTTCTTTTACTTTCATTAATGGTAAACAGTACAAATAGAGAGGGAGAATTTTCATAATGGGGACCACAGACTGCAAAAAAAAAAAAAAAAAAAAAAAACAAATCTAATGAGTGTTCTAATCCTGCTCCACTCTAAAGCACAACTAAAAAGGCAAAATTTTTTTTTTTTTTTGGTGAACCTGTGGGTCTGTCCTTGCTTCTTAAGTTGTCCTTTGTCTACAGAGCAGACACTTCCAGTAGCTCTTTCCTCAAATCACAGTGGAACCATAAACCCGTGACTGCTTTTTTATTTCAAATATTGACCACAGATTCCATCTTTACCTTTGGCAGCCTCCTCCCACCTCCTGTGCCTTCTTATTGGCCAGTAAGTGCATACATCACATTTGGTGGCCAGTAAGTCCATCCAGTGAAGTCAGAACTTGAACTTGTTCCAAAGCAAATGAGGAAGATTTACTAGAAGTGGAGAGTGGTTTTGATGCGCAGCTGCACCAGATGTTGCACTCTCCAGTTTTAGTAAATCAACTCTAGTGACTCTGCACAATAGCTAGGCAAGTAGCATTGTCAAAAAGGAGGGTTTGGTAATGTAAGTCTACATATTCCTCGCAGTACAGGTCACATGAAACTAAAAAGGTGATCTAAGCAATGTATTGTAATTAACCCAGCAGAGACAAATGCTCCCTAATATATAGCAAAGCTTCTTTTTTCAGCGGAAATGCTGTGCTTCTAAACAAAGAAATACGGGTGTATTTAGGAGAGGATGTAAAGTTATGGATATACAGTGACAGAGGTACTACTCATCTAACAATTCAAATTTGGGCACGCTCAATGGAACCCAAATAAACAGATAAGGAACATTCCAAGTCCTGCTAGATATGGATGGCAGTTGTGCTTTTAAAAAACACAATACACACTGAAGCTTGTAGCCAGGGCCAGGACAATGGGTGGTTGCTCTGGGCACAATGATTTATGGTATCAATGGGGGGGGCACATTCCTTTCGTTTCAAGGTTGACAGGAATAGTGACAGAGGCATCACTACTCCTCTCAGCGCAGCTCTGAGAGTGCCAAGGACAGGTGGAGAGAGCCGGGCAGTGAAGCAGGCTGTGTTCTCTCTATCCCCCTCCATCCTGCAAGTGCAGCAATCCTGTATTCAGAAGCCCTTTTGTCAGTTTGGCATCTTTGCCCTGGGCACTAGATGACCTTGTCCCAGCAGTGCTTGTAGCAATCACCGTGTTCCATTATTTAAACACTGCTCTTCAACTGCAAAAACGGATTCTGTTGACTAGTTTACACTCTTTACGATACTCACCAAGATAGGCACCCAGTAGTAATTAAGAGTTGGAGCAGTGTCTTGCACAATCTGGATACGGCGAGTGAAGAAAAAGAAGGCAAGGATCCCTGCAAGGAAAAAGGAAGGAGAAATCAGTGTGAATCATTTGTGAATGAAGGAACAGAAAATGCAGGAGAAAGGATCTTGTATGTATGTATGTATGTATGTATGTATGTATGTATCAGCTCAACATAAATCATAGCTTAGTGTAAAGTGCCTGTGTAGATGGGTAATCTACGTTTTATCAATAAAACCAACCTTATCGGTGAAAAAGGAGAGTTAACAGGAAGCAAAGCCTGCTGATGTAATGAGAAAAAACACATCCGCCTCCACATACTCAGAATTAAAAACCGTGCATGAAAACTACACAAATAACAATATGGACACAATAAACACGTGTGTTTGTGATGCAGAATATGCTGATATTTTTATATTGTAGAATGTAAAGAAAACTTTTTTTGCATTCATTGCTTTCTAAATATACTTGTAATTCTGTCATTGTATCTAGTGTATAATAAATAAGTAAAAAAAAATAAAATTATATTATTATAATTATTACATGGACTTGTATCACTTATTTTCAATTTTATTTGGGCCAGAACTGCTTTTTCCCTGTACACATTAATGGGAATACAGAAGTGGGTTGATACAGGTTAGGAAATTATAGGCCACCTGCAGACTAGATGCACCTATCAATGTACTCTTCCACTTTAATTCCATTCCAGTTGGATTATAGACCTAAAAGCAACCTCTTTGGTCAAACCCTGTGTCATCTTCTACATTTTGTTTTTTTAAATCTATATCCTCACCTTATGAATGTTAGTCCATAACATGAACAGCCGTGTGATGAATGCATGACCCCATAAAGCAAGAGATGATTTCTGATTAACAAAATACTTTGCTGCTTTACCGAATAAGTCTTAAAACATTAACAAATTCTGAGAAGCACTGAACCAAATGACACACCAATACCAACACAACCTATATTGTGAGTATTCAGGTCACACCCAGGGGCGGACTGACCATTTGGAAACTTGGGCACTGCCCGAGGGCCCGGGGTCAGTAGGAGGCCCCACGAGATGCCCCTGGTACCTTTTTCATAGGCTTTTTTGAGTTTGGGCAAGGACACAGGGGCCCCATGATCCCCTATTGCCCGGGGGCCCCATGAGTTGTCAGTCCGCCCCTGGTCACACCTACACTAGCAAAAGGGCCAGTCCATCTAAAACCAATATCACAATTCTGCATGGATGTTGGCAGTTTAGGTCACTGGCTGGCCCATTATATTTTCTGAGGACACCATTGGTGATATCTCCCCACCTGAAATCCCAGCTACATCCAATGGTTCTGTGCTTAAAGCCAAGTCATATTGTCATGGTACCCCAATTGTTTCTCCATGGGATTGTGACATCTTCTCTACAGCCTTGTGGAAATGGACACAGAGAGGAACAGGAGGTCTTGCTTATAGTGGCTGAGAAATGTAAAAAGGTAGCAGCAGATACAGATTCTGAGTGGGTTCAGCTTTCAAATATACATTTTTAAATTCTACTTACCAACACAGCCAACTACCAGCAATTTCCCCAGGAACAGAAGGAAGTCTGTAACTTTATCAAGGACTGCAACACTGGAAAGAGAGTAAAAGAGAAGTACTAAATAGAGAGGGCAGGCAGTCCAACCTTCAGAGCGCAGAGAGTTTGGAAGAAAAAAAAAACAAAAAAAAAAAAAACAGAAAAGGGCAAAAAGGAAGAAAATGAAATGTGTGTCTGTATCCTATAACAAACAGATTATTTTGTTACTTCTAAATAACTTTGCTCTGGGTAACACAGATGTTCATCCTATTCAGGCTTCAATTACATGTTTCCGTCATGCACATCTCTAAAGAATACTACAGAAGTCATCCTACAGAAGTCATCCTTGAGTTGAAGTCCAATGCAAAAAAAAACACATCAAACACTGGCTTACTGGATATTAAACATTTTTTGTTATCTGATGAATGATCTTCAACATCTAATAAACCAATCGCAGACTTACCGGATGATGTTTCTCATTAGCAAGAAGAAGGCGTTCCGAGCAGATGTGCAGAAGTTGGTTCCATATATAGCGATCTGTAAGAAGTAAGACATTTCATTCTCATTGGGTAGGGGTCTACAAAGATATTAAACAAAGGGCCAGTTTATGTTGCTTTAAACTGAGGGGGCCAGACTGTGGCCAATGAAAGTAGAAAATGCACTGGGGTCATTGGGAGTAAACAATGCCCCATCATTGGTATTAGTGGAAGGAATATTGCCACATTGTAAGTATCAGAGGAAGGAATAGTGCCCCATCATTGGTGTCCGTGGGAAGAAAAGTGCTCAGCCGTTGGTGCCCCATTGTTGGGGTCATTGGTAGGAATAACGCCCTATTGTTGGTATCAGTGACAGGAACTATGCCCTGGTGTTGACGTCAGTGGAAGGAATAGTGTCACACTGTAACAGTGCCCCAAGGGCTGGATAAAAGCAAGTGAAGTGCCACATCTGGCCCCCGGGCCGCAGCTTGGAGACCACTGTCATAGGGCAAACACAGGGTTGTGGCTAAACTCTTCTGTGACTCAGGGAAAACATAGCAAGGGCCCCATGCAATCTTCTCTTTATTATGGGTGGACTACCATTGCGAACTTCCTGAAAATACTAGCAGATTGGCCATTTGTCTCCCATACTTTTGGAGTAGCTGACCTGGAGTCAGCATCCTGCAAAGGAAGTCAGAATTCCTGATCTGCATGGGTGTCCTGGATACTGAAGCCAGTGATCAGCATGACAGTCATCATCTAGCATTTCTCCATACTTCTCCCACAACATCAGCCATTTTAGACCTTTCAACGTAAACACTCTGCTTTAACCACTTGGCGCCGACCATATGCGGCCTCGCAGAAGTGGGTCTTTATCAGTGAGGCCACATATATGCGACCTGGGTTGCGCGGGTGGTAAAGCGACGCTCTCCTAACAGCATAGTTAAGTCAAAGTTTCTGAATTTCAGCTAGAGAGCTAGGGGGCCAGTATTTTCAGAAGGTGGTAAACAAAGGCAGCCTCTATTTCTCCCCAATACCACTTTCCTTCATCTTCATAAAACCGATATAGCATACGACTTGAAATCCTCACCAACCATAGTCCTGCAGCTCCAGGGTGGTGAAATCATTACCAACCATAGTCCTGCAGCTCCAGGGTGGCGGTAGCTACGAATGTTGTGAACAATACTCCTGAAATTGCCATCTCTTATTTCAGAAGATATCGCAGGCTGCGAGATGGACAGTAACTGTTTTCTTGGCTTCATGGAGCCGAGCTGAAGCCTAGGCCTGAATGTCTGTAGTACCATGGTCCTCATAGGTCATTAAGCCCACACCCTCCCCGTACTCACCATGATGTAGGCGTTCCTGTTCAAGAACTTTATGAACTTCTCCAGACACCAGAAGCAGCACTTCAGGCAACATAGGAGGAAGTGAGCACACTTATTATCCGCCCCTGGAATAAAAGAAAATGTGAATTCGATTAAGTATCATTGGAAACAGTATCATCATTTTAAAGTAAAAGTTGGGGGGGGGGGGGGGGGGGGGGTGGTTTGCAGGGCTTGCCCTAAAATACATTTCTGACAAATTATATTCGCTTGTTATTTTTTTTCCTTTAAATTGTATTTAAATGTTGGGATTTTCAGATAAGTCAGTGGTTGCTGACCTTCTTGATTAACAATTGCTGTGTTAAAATAGGAACCACACAGGGACAATTACGATGCGAGGCGAACAGTAAGGTAGAACCACTGTGTGCAGAGCAGGAATTGGCCTCTGTCAGTGGCAGTTGTCTTATCGCTGCAGTTTTTGTCCCCCCCCCCCTTTAGAACCAGGGCTGTTTTTCAGCAGGAACTGCACTGAATTTATGTAATGACAAGGCGTGCTGGGGTGTACTGGAGGGTTGGTTTAGGCAGTTTGGTGAACTATTGGAGGGGATTTTAAGTGGGGTGTCTATTGTTGCTGAGGGGGGGGATGTTCTGTGCTTGGAGCTGGATGGGGGAGTTGAACCAAGGGATGGTGCTTGGAGGTGGGTATGGGGAAGAAACAAGGGATGACTCAGGGGAGGGGAGTTCCTGCACCAAGTCACTGAGAAAAAAAAAAAGCCCTGACTAGAACTAAGACATTTTCTTCATTTTGAAAAGAGTAAAAGCAATATAACCCGTCAGTTTTTTGCCATCTGTGTCCCATAGGAGAAATTTCCTATCCTATAGCCAAAACAGAAGTGAGAGGAAATCATTCCAAAGTAAGGGAATCCCTGGTAGAGTTGTTGACTTGGCCTCCAAATTCTCCAGGTCTCAATTTAATCGAGAATCTGTGGGATGTGCTGAAAAATCAAGTCCAATATATGGAGAACCCAACTCGCAACTTGCAGGACTAAAAGGATCTGCTACCCATTGGTTGGTGACATACACCACCACAGCACATCGTCAGAAGTCTAGCGGAGTCCATGCCTTGATATATTGTGGGTGGCCATAATGTTATGGCTGGTGTGGGTGTGTGTATTATCATAATACTATGTGTGTGCGTTTTATCATAATGCCATGTCTGATGAGTATGTGTCCCCGATATGCTCTCCTTTCTCCTTGGCAGCAACAGTGCTATGAGATGGAGCACTGTACAGCTTCTGTCAGCCTTCCTCTCTAGCTGAGCCAAGACATACATACGATCAATGCTGGAAATGCACACTTTTTAATTGCAGAAAATGACAGTTTTTGAGACTAAGGAGAGGAGAGGTTTTTTTTTTTTTTTTTTTAATATGGAAGTGCTCTATGCTTCAGGAAAATGGCAGCCTCCACCAAGAACTAACGAGCGCAATGCTGGTGAGAATATACAGCACACACAATTTTGGTATCATACTTCTTAATCTGAAATGTATGTTATTTTGTTAAAGAACATGATTTGTTATCCAACTGATATTGGTAAAGTTCCACTTTAAAATTTTACACTTTGTTTCCAGGAAGGTATTATTAGCAACTGCTAAGGGGTGATAGTCACAAAAGTGCAGGTATAGAATTAAAAAAAAAAAAAAAAATTATATATATATTTATTATGCAGTATTTATAAAACTGCCAACAGTTCGCTCAGCGCTGTACATTGTAAAGGGAGACAGAACATGCGACAATACAACGCGATACACGAGGGGTTCGAGGGCCCTGCTCTTTGGAGCTTACAATCTAGGAGGGAGGGGATGGTGGCACAGGAGGAGATAGCTGTGGGGGATGGAGTGATAGGAAGAGTGGAAAAGGTCGGAAATTAGCAGGGGGCGGGTTCCCTGAAGAGGTGGGATTTCAGGGTGCGCCTAAAAGGAGAGGAGAGGAGAGTAGGTGATAGTCTGATGAGTTGGGGCAGGGAGTTCCAGAGGATGGGTGACACCCTGGAGAAATCCTGGAGGCGGGCATGGGAGGAGGAGACCAGGGAACTAGAGAGAAGGAGGTCTTGTGAGGAGTGGAGTGTGCATGTTGGGTGGTACTTGGATATCAGGTCGGTGATGTAATTTGGGGCAGTATGGTGGACGGCTTTGTACGTCAGTGTTAGGATTTTGAAATTGATCCGTTGTGCAATCGGAAGCCAGTGGAGGGATTGGCAGAGGGGGGTGGCGGAAATGGAGCGGTTGGTAAGGTGGAGGAGTCTGGCTGCCGTATATGTATTATATATATATATATATATATATATATATATATTTTTATTATGGTTTAGGTTTTGGGTTTAGATAGTCTTAGGCCAATAGAAGTTTAAAAAATAAATAAAATGGGTAGAAAAATAATTCTGTTCCAAAAGCTGAAACAAATCGTCATTTTTGTCTTTAAATTGCTCCCCAGGCAAATTCAAACTCCTCTTCACTCAATGTTCAGCCACAGAGAAAACTGCCGTTTCCAGTGTGGAATCAGCGGCCCTTCTACAGCAACGGACATGCCCCCTCCCTGCTGAGTCACAGTTAGAGCCCAGCCAATCAGAAGAGCATTGCTGAGCTGTGGGTCATGTGCCCATGTGTGTAGCCTCACCTTTCAGCTTGTGGTCAAGATACTCCAGCATGATCCTGATGAGCTGCACAATTGCGAGTATAAGAGAACCAAATGCCAGTGACCCAGTGTGATACCTGAAAAACAATAAAAACCTTTTATAGCTTCATGTAAAAAGGGACATTACTGTATACACAAATAAACTGAAAACCATTCATGACTTCCTTCCAGAATCTCTATACAGGATACATTTAAATTTAAAGCAGAACTAAAAACTCTAATAAATCAATCACAGCCAAGGAAGGTGCCATCTTCTCTCTGACCGGCAGTTGTGAAGGTGCTACACATGTGATCAATTATGACACCAGCTATTTTTTAAATAGTTCAACTGAGAACCCAAGCAAACCTCCTTGAATGCAAACATTTTTAAAAACCGTTAAAATCAATGGGCTTAGCTTAAAAGGGTCAGTTCAATTTTACCAAAAAATTGCCTATCCAGGTAAGGCGCACCTGTAGATAAAAGCAAACTGAGCAGCTCTGACTAAAGTTGGATAAACGCACTTACTATAGCTGCAGGATATTTATATAACTGCTGAAGCCTAGCCGACAACTCCCACAGATGGAATCATTCTGTCCTGGCTTGTTGCTAGGGTGTTGCCAAGAGACTCCCAGCTGTTCCTGCTCACCCCCACAGGAGCAAGGGAGGGGTTTTAGCTAGGGCTTAGTAACAAGGCAGGATGGGATGATTTCAACTGTGGAAATTTTTTTGTCAGGCATTGGGCGGGAAATGGCCTATACCAGTTGTGTCAAACAATTTAATTGCGGCCAACATCAGCAGTTTGGCTGCCCTCAAAGGGCCACGCTGGATATAGAGTGCAGAGTTCAGGATTATGCCATGTAATCCTGAACCCTGCGCTCTGGATGTAACGTAATCCTGATGTACAGAGTTCAGGAGTGCGCTACATCCAGAGTGCAGGGCTCAGGAGTGCGCTACTCCAGAGCTCAGGAGTGCGCTACGTCCAGAGTGCAGGGCTCAGGAGTGCGCTACGTCCAGAGTGCAGGGCTCAGGAGTGCGCTACGTCCAGAGAGCAGGGCTCAGGAGTGCGCTACGTCCAGAGAGCAGGGCTCAGGAGTGCGCTACGTCCAGAGAGCAGGGCTCAGGAGTGCGCTACGTCCAGAGAGCAGGGCTCAGGAGTGCGCTACGTCCAGAGAGCAGGGCTCAGGAGTGCGCTACGTCCAGAGAGCAGGGCTCAGGAGTGCGCTACGTACAGAGTGCAGGGCTCAGGAGTGCGCTACGTACAGAGTGCAGGGCTCAGGAGTGCGCTACGTACAGAGTGCAGGGCTCAGGAGTGCGCTACGTACAGAGTGCAGGGCTCAGGAGTGCGCTACGTACAGAGTGCAGGGCTCAGGAGTGCGCTACGTACAGAGTGCAGGATTCAATAATGAGCTATGTGCAACATCTCATTTTCACCCTTCCTCCTGGATTCTGACCTCTGCACCCACCACTCTGCCCCCATCCCCACACATCTTCCTCCACAATCCTCACTGCACCTCCACCCTCCCCTCCCCCAATGCAAACCTCACATCAGCGCTCTCTCCTACTTGATGTAAGATGGCATTTACAAGAGTGCCCCTCTTCATGGCCACTATTGAGTGCAGCCAAAAAAGTCCGCCTTCAGAACGCAGCCACTGGATATATAGATTAGAAGAACACACAGCCGCCGGATCCATCAGTTACCTCCGTCACTGATAGGCTATGCTGGATCAACCGTGCATGTGATCAGCTACACCGAGCCAATGCACTGGGGAGACTGAGGACAAGACAGCAGGAAGTGCTTACTCCTGTTGCCAAGGAGACCCGTTCCATGGCAGTGGAAAGCAGATCGGGAGTACAGGGAGTGGCAGCCGGTGTGCGGGCCACATGACTAGGCCTGGTGGGCTGGATACGGCCCGTGGGCCTTGTGTTTGCCACCTGTGGCCTGTATCTATAGCAAAAGGTACTTAACTTTAGTTGAAGCTGTACAGTGTTTATCTAGCGGCGCTCCTTACCCACATATGCAGTTTTTTGGTAAAGATGAATTATTCCTAGATTGTAAGCTCCAAGGATCAGGCCCTCCTATCCCTCTTGTATTGAACTGTATTGTTGCTGTATTGTCTCCCGTTATATTGTAAAGCGCTGAGCAAACCGCTGACACTATATAAATCCTGTATAATAATAATAATCCTTTAAATACAGATCTAAAGTTTTCTATACTCCCCTCCAGGTGATGCCCACGAGCATCAAACACAGACATCTTCGCCCAATCTTTGTCTTCAACGTTTGGCATCTTCAGCCATCTTGGTTGGAAAGCCCAGGATAATGCAAGGAGCATTAAGAACTTAGACGGCTCCAAATACTTACAGGATTCAATATTTTCAATGACAGGAGCTTTTGAAATATTTTTGTATGCTGCACTGCGCTCACAACATAAAAGGAGATCACAACGGCTAGAAGCGGTACATTAAACTATGGTGCAGAGAATACACTTCCAGAAAAGGGCCAATAAGGAAAGCACCAGGATCCCTCTACCTGTACATGGTTTTCTCCGATTGGCTGTCAGAAAGAACATGGCATGGGGGGGGGGGGGGTTTGATGTTTAGGACTGAGTCAAACCAACTTTTAACAGATTATGATCTCCACTGATAACATTGGAGTGCAGTCGAGAAATCGACACTTTGTTGTTAACCCGGTACACACTATAAGGAAATCAGACAAGAACGATAGTACATCCTCGGTTACAATCTGCTAGTGAGGAAAAATGGACAAATTGTACAAAAATTCTCATATGACAGGCTTTTTTTTGTGGTTTATAGTTTCTGATCATGCACACACAGTCTTTCATATCTGATTCTTAAACTGTATGAAAACCGTTCACATTAAAACGCAAATCGTTCGTTCTGTTCACGTACGAGAACAAATTTTGGAGTATGCCCCTGTGGAAATTCACAATCGGATGTGTTTTGTACGCACAATATGAAATAGAACAACCGTGCCTCATACAGAATTTTCTTCTGATTTTCTCATAGTGTGTACCCCACCATAGTACGAAGGCAGATACCTTCCTTGTTCTCATCCCCTGTCTGCAGGTACAGTGCAATCACCGACAAGCCAACTGTAAACAGAATAGCATATAAAACAGCTTGGGCCTGTCATGACAACTTTAGGAGCAGAGAAAAAAGAAAAAAGAAAAAAAAAAAAAAAAAAGGAAGAAAAGTATCACCAAGAGGTTAAGTTTCCACTTGCTTCATATCCCTGGAAAGATTGATGATAGGGTTAATGAGCTCAATGCACCAAGCTATAAAGATGGTTATTTGCCATGACTCATTTTTCGGAATGACAGCCAACAGCAGTTAAAAATACCAGTTGTATGGCTGAAAATAATCAATCATTCTGGCTAACAAATGCTTCACAGCTTAATAAATTGAGTCTAATTGGTCATAAACAGGGGAGGAATGATCATTTGGAAACTCGGGCACTGCCCGAGGGCCCGGGGTCAGTAGGGGGCCCCATGAGATGCCCCTGGTACCTTTTTCATAGGCTTTTTTGAGTTTGGGGAAGGACACAGGGGCCCCATGATCCCCTTTTGCCCGGGGGCTCCATGAGTTGTCAGTCCGCCCCTGGTCATAAAATACAATTGTTCTTTTACCCAATAGAACTAATGCATTGGATTTATTTTAATGTATCCTGACCTTTAACATGTGTTACTAGATAGACGTTCTGACACATCTCGGGTCCCTTGCTGATGCTCCTGGCCCCTCATGCCCACAGAGTGCCCTCATAGCTATCCATTTGCTATGAGAGCACTCGTGCATGCTCACTCCTGAGCCATGCTCTGTGTTCTTTATACACCCCATTTACAAAAGAGCTCTATTAAGGATCTGGTTTACCACTCCTTGATTAAGATGAGAGCCAAAACACTGTCCAGATATAACTTAAGGAAAGAGGATTCATTCCATGGAGGAAGTCTTGAGGCTCACACCAACTGAAATATGGTTTCCACAATGCTAGACCATGCGATAAATAGACTTTCTAGCTTTTAGCATCATAGGAATCACAGATTTAGATTATGTCCCTGTCCCTCAGAACCAACCTGCTTTTTAAAAGCCATGCTTCTAAAGCTAGCAACCGTTAAGCAGGATCTTTAGGGCTTGGGCCAGGATTCTTCAGACAGAAGATCAGGACGAACCAGCAGTTCAGGGAGCATCTGCCAGGAGTCTTGCCAGGTTGGCATAGCACCTTCGCCAGGCCCAAGAGGCTCATATTTTGTATCCCCCACTTCTGAAACAGGTACCGGAACACATCCAGGTGAAGGGCCTACATCCTAGGTCCAGGGGCTCTCGGTAAAGGTAACCTGCCAGCCAAGTGCCCATACCTGGAAAATGTACATGCCGACAAAGCTGTAATTTGAAGTGCCACCCAGGATAGGAGCCGTTTGTGTCAGTGACAAAACTTCTGGTTCCTCCCAGATGATGTATGTACACGACCGCCATAACTGATGTACACCACTGACATAGTATCGATCAACAATATGGATTGGATGACCTTACAGCAGGATGGTTCCATGCTGCAAAGAGCCATAGTGCCCAAAATTCCAGGACGTTGACCAGGTGACAAGACTTCTGTTTACCAAGTCCATTTCACTGACAGGTTCTGGACCTGGAATATACTCAAAGTCTAAATTTGTTTTCACCAGAATAGAGTCTGGAAAGCCTCCTACACAGAACCCAATGCTTAAAGGCCGCTTCCAGGCTATCCCTGCCACATCCAGTCCAGCCAGGTCTAGACACAGTATGCCAAAAGCTAGGCTGAGGATACCTGCAAACTGAAAGACCGTTCCAACAGTGTTACAGTCTTGATTAGAGTGGAACTAAAGCCTCCTATAATTTTCAGCTAAAGCTGCCCTCTTAGGAATGATGGTAGTAGGCGTTTTGCTTTCCTGTGACACTAAGACAGGCATCAGAAGCAAAAAGCAAAGAAAAGATTTCAGTTCACAAAATTTGTTTTTCCAACTATGTATATAGCGGTTTGTCAGATTTTAGCCCACCAACATCTGCATGGTTAAACCTCATACACTTACTGCAATGTAGGACACCTCTATGCGCCGTGTTGGCTTACATTGCAGTTCACTTCAACACAATGCGCTGCGATAAATTGCATTATATCTGCATTGTAGTGCAGCGCTGCATTGCAGTGTGAATGGGACACATAGGAAACAATTGTTCCCTGTGTGTCGCTGCGGTGACAGACATTTTACCATGCAATAAAACCTCTTGCCATGCGGTAAAATGCCTGCAACTGTATATAGTAGTTCGCATGTTCTCCCTGTGCCTGCGGGTACTCAGGTTTTCCTCAGGTTAATTGGCTCCTGTCCAAATTTGCGCATATATATATATATATATATATATATATATATTAGATTGTAAGCTCCTGGAGAGCAGGGACTGATGTGATGTACAATATGTATATGTGTAAAGCGCTATACAAGTACCTGTAATAAATAAAACATAGTGCAAATTCACTCATAAGTCTAACAAACCCACCTGCAGTTAAGTCTATCTGTGGCCCATAGCCTATCAAAGCAGCTGAGTAGATATCCAGTTTAGCAATTCTCTTAGTAGCTCACCTGAGAGCTCTTCCCAAGGAAGAGAAAATCGGAAATGCTGGCATATCATCTGGTTTTTTGAAGGCCCAGTAGTAAGAGGCAAATGCCCCAGCTAGAGTCACTTGACCTAGTGCGATGACAAAGTTGGCCAACCAGAGGAACATAAAGGCATTGTAGATCTGGAAAACGATCAGGTACTTGTGGTAATAGGTTTCTCCTCCATAGAAGGCAAACTGGCACCTAGCATCTGGGCACATACGGGTAACATTGGTGGTATTGAAAGTCTAGGAAAAAACAAAAAGATATTAGTATCAGTTCTTTTTAAATTAAAACAGACATCCACCAAGATACCATTGTGGAGTCTAAACAACACTACTTTGTGCTAATGCTCATATATGCCACCATTAAAACAAGTTACACTTGGTAGCAAAGTCCACTCATCTAATAGGGCACTGCCTATCTTATAAGATTGGCAGTGAGATGTTACTAGGGAAGGAAGGGGAGGCATGGGAGAGAAAGAGTCACACAAAGATTGCTCTTGCAAATAAGCAAAGTTTTCCAAACTACACCATAAAATACTCAAGTAGCATTGTAAATCCTGTGCAAATAAATCTCTTTTAACATTTGTGGTAAATGTAATCAATTGCAGCAGTATTGAGAAAAATGTATTGAGTTAGATTTCCTTCCAGCCTCCAAGACAGGTTCAAGAAAAGGACCCAGGGTACTAGAAAGTAAAAGCAAAAGGCATTGCATAGATGATTTTTTTTTTTTTGTTCAAAACACTTGATGTGGATGGGGGAATCCTTCTCACTCAGTTTTCGCATTCTGGAGACTGGGGAGACTTCCCCGCCATCAGAAAACACACACACACCCCAAATGTCAGATTCATAGGCTTAAAGTGGAGCTTCACTCAAAAGGGGAAGTTCCGCTTTAAGGCCTGGTAGGATTGGCACCTTTGGAGAACGGGTACCCGATTTTGACAGGTACCCACTCCTACTTCTGCTGCAATTGCCTAGGTCAGTGGTGGGCAACCTTTTTTTTCAACTGAGCCAAATCTCGCCAAAACCATGATTGAAATTTATTTTGAGAGCCACATTTTTAAAAAACTGAAAATACATCTCCCATATAGTAATTCATCCCCCATAGTAATTCATCCCCCATATAGTAATTCATCCCCCATAGTGTAATTCATCCCCCATAGTAATTCATCCCCCATATAGTAATTCATCCCCCATCGTAATTCATCCCCCATAGTAATTCATCCCCCATAGTAATTCATCCCCCATATAGTAATTCATCCTCCATATAGTAATTCATCCCCCATAGTAATTCATCCCCCATATAGTAATTCATCCCCCATAGTAATTCATCCCCCATAGTAATTCATCCCCCATATAGTAATTCATCCCCCATAGCAATTCATCCCCCCGTATAGTATTTCATCCCTCGTATAGTATTTCATCCCCCGTATAGTATTTCATCCCTCATATAGTATTTCATCCCTCATATAGTAATTCATCCCTCATATAGTATTTCATCCCTCATATAGTATTTCATCCCCCCATATAGTATTTCATCCCCCCATATAGTATTTCATCCCTCATATAGTAATTCATCCCTCATATAGTATTTCATCCCCCCATATAGTATTTCATCCCCCCATATAGTATTTCATCCCTCATATAGTATTTCATCCCTCATATAGTATTTCATCCCTCATATAGTAATTCATCCCCCATATAGTATTTCATCCCTCATATAGTATTTCATCCCTCATATAGTATTTCATCCCTCATATAGTAATTCATCCCTCATATAGTATTTCATCCCTCATATAGTATTTCATCCCTCATATAGTATTTCATCCCCCCATATAGTATTTCATCCCTCATATAGTAATTCATCCCCCATATAGTAATTCATCCCCCATATAGTAATTCATCCCTCATATAGTATTTCATCCCCCATATAGTAATTCATCCCCCATATAGTAATTCATCCCTCATATAGTATTTCATCCCTCATATAGTATTTCATCCCCCCATATAGTAATTCATCCCTCATAAAGTAATTCATCCCTCATATAGTATTTCATCCCCCACAGTACTATCCCCCCCCCCCTTCTAGTAAGCCAAGTCCCCCGTGTCAATTCACTTACCTTTTGCGTTCCTCTCGCTGTCTTCCCGCGCCGTTCGGGTCTTCAGGGCGGACTGTGAGAGGAGCCTAGCTCCCCTCCCCTCACGTTCGGCACGCTGCCCCGCCTACACACATCCTGACAGCCACATCCGCGGGCCGGATTAAAAGGTCCGCGCGGACTTTTGGGGCTGCCAACCGAGAGGAGGCAGGGGAGCGGCCGACCCGACCGAGAGGAGGGAGGGGAGCAGGCGCCCGGCACACAGAAGAGCCGCATTAGAGTGGGTAAAGAGCCGCATGTGGCTCGCGAGCCGCGGCTTGCCGACCACTGGCCTAGGTGATTGGAAGCGGAAGTTGTCCTCCCCCCCCCCTCCCTCCACGTAGCCTTCTCGGACACGTGACAGGTCCCAGTAGACTACAGGACCATTCACAACATGCAGCGTTACTCGCGCACGTGCAGTGGGCACCTGGCTGTGAAGCCGCATGCTGTCACAGCTGGGCATGCCCACACTTAGGATGCCAGTACAGGGGTCTCCAAACCTTTCAAACAAAGGGCCAGTTTACGATCTGTCTGACTTTAAGGGGGCTGAATTGTGGCCAGTGGGGGTTGCCAATGTCCCAAGCCCCGCATCAGTGAGAAAAAACATTGCTTCAGGGTTGGTGGTCAGGAGGATAAGGAGTAGTGCCCTAGTGTTGGCACTGGTGGGAAAGAGGACAACAGGTGAACCCAGCTAGTGTTAACACACCGCTGGATCGAGGGACAGAGGAGTGTCTTAAAAGAAAGGAAAAAAAAAAAAAAGTCAGTCATCAGCTACAGTTTTTTTAGCTGCCAAATTATTTTTTTAGATTGTCACTGCAGCTCCACTTTAAGTCATATGTTGTTATTGGAATGTATATAAATCTATTTCCTTTTCCTGAAAGCTCCACTTATTTGTGACGCTGACCTAGACCTTTAAGAACAAAGTTCTAAAATATGTCACACAACTTGTTTAATAAGGATTTTTCCTAAAAAAGGAAATTCTTTATCATCTTCTGACTTATCAAGGATATTACTCAAGGCAAAACAAACAGAAAATTATCATCAAAAGGAAGTACAAAGTAGCATGATTTATCTCCCACATCTCCATCTGAGGCTTCTAGCCAGATACTCTTCTGGCTAAAACAGATGAAGCTCAGACCTTAACTGACATCTGCACACCAGAGATCCTCGTCCATTGGATCAACATTTATGTTGAATCCGATGGCTTTGAATAAACTTGCTTTTATACAAGAAAAACAGGACATTTGAGCAAGCATTATAAGGACACATATATTATTACAAAAATATATTAATAAAAGTTGGACTATTATAGCAAATGTGTCTTTTTACTGCAGTTTAGCATTGCTCTGTTGTGTGACGGAATTGATAAATATTCCCCAGAATCTTTTTAAGTAAATTATACACACTCCAAAGACATGCTGGTAGGTGAATTGGCTCCTGTCTAAATTGTCCCTAGTATGTGTATGTATGAATGTAAGTTAGGGACCTTAGATTGTACGCCCCTTGAGGGTTAGGGACTGATGTGAATGTACAATATATATGTAAAGTACTGCGTAAATGGACGGCGCTATAGAAGTACCTGAAATAAATAATTAATATCAGCTTAATTGATCCAGGATCATCTCTGGCAAACAAGCATTGCACAAACCTAAGTGCATGTTCTTAAAGAGGGCAGGGGGGAGCACTCTAGTGCCATCCCCAGTGCTGGCCTCTTGTGGAATGCAATATCAATCAGTTGGGCAATGTCCACTCCAGCCAACTTGCCACCTCACAGAGGGGAGTTGTTGGCGATGGTCAGAGGTTACCTATAGACATTTTTCCCTGATCCAGCCACTGACAGCCAGATCGGGGAAAATATTCTCCCATGTACAAGCAACTTTAGTTGTAGCATCCTCCAATCTCTATGCCTCTGTACAGAGAGAATTATATTGGCTGTTATCAATAACTTCTCCTTTGGTGCAAAATGCTGCAGGAAGATTTTGCTGTTGAGTATCCAAGACATAGCAAGCCGGGACCTGACTCACCAAGTGCCGCCTATAAATGAAATATCATTTTTAGGTGTACTAACACTTTAAATATTAGGGTTTCTTTCCCTGAATGGCAAATTTCTTAGATATTTTCACACTCTCAAAGTTCAGTAATTGATGTTCAAATTTTTTTATTACATATTTTAAAATCCACCCAATATCACCAGTCTAGCTGCTTCATCAGAGAGGGAGAGATAAAAGGAGGGTAGGTAGCTGAGCTCCCTCAGTTATGCTCAGGACCAATCCCTAGCCAATGTCATTCACAGATGGCAGTGCCCAGCATCTGATCTCAATGGCAGAGGAACCGCAGGAAGGGTCATTAATAGAATGTTGATATAGGGATGGGCTTACCTCTGGGTCACACGTTTTGCCGGCATAGTCACACTGAGTCTCATTAAAGATCTTGTATATTGCCTCATTGGATGTGGAGAGGAAGCTGTGTGGGGTGTGTTAAGGATGAAAAGGTCAAGAATCTGAGATCTGGGTTTAATCTGCCAGAAGTCATTTCAGGTCAATACAGGGTAATGTGAAGTGGTGTCATGAGCCTTAAAGGGATTGTAAACCTCACAAAATATGAATAAAGCATACATCTCTCTATAGTGTGTACTTGTCTCAATTAAGAGCACCAATTGTCATTTCTGTCTGCTGCTTCTTTCCTCTGCTTTTAGCAAGACTCACTCCTGACAAGTTTTCCTGACACCAAGAGAAAAATGGTGACGGAGAGGGACCTCCAGCAGATTGACTGCCTCAGCTCTGTTTCGGTGACCTGTGCGGAGGGGTGTGTGTCTCTTCCCTCCAATCAGCTCTCAGATCTCTCCTCACAGAGCTCTGCAGAGTAACTTCAACTCTCCGCCCCCTTTGGTTCTAAAGGCTCAAGGTTTTTTACCTTCATGCATTCTATGCATGAAGGTAAAAAACCTTCTGTGTGCAGCATCACTCTCAGCCCCCCACAATACTCACCTAAGCCCCATCTCGATCCAGCGATGTGCACTGGAGTCTTGGCTATCCCAGAACTCCCTCTCCTCATTGGCTGAGACAAAAGCAGGAGCCATTGGCTCCCACTGCTGTCAATCACAGCCAGTGAGCCGGTGAGAAGAGAGGGGGTGGGACTAAACTGCAGCTCCGTGTGTGAATGGACACACGGAGCAGCGGGTGCCGCCATAGCAAGCTGCTCGCTGGGGGGGGGGGGGGGGGGGGGGGGTCACCTGACAGGAGGGAGGGGCATAGAGAGCCTGCAGGGGACCCAAGAAGAGGAGGATCCAGGCTGCACTGTTCACAACCACTGCACACAGCAGGTAAGTATAGACAGGTTTGTTATTTTTTCTTCACAAGAGCCTTTAGAATCACTTGAACACTCAGATAAGCTGTAATAATTCTGGACTTCTAGACAGATACAACTTATGTAGGAGGATTTGTTTCATCTCTGTATCACCTGAGGTCAGTCACTTCACTTGGTATATGTAAGGGTTTACAACCACTTTAAAGTAAGTTTGCTATTTTCTAAAAAAAAAAACAAAAAAAAAAAAAACAACACAACCCAAAAACTTTAGAACAGGTTATAGTTTTAAAATGTGAGCACCTAGAGAGGACTACATGTACATTGACTTTCTTGGACTTCCAGAATAATCATGAGTATGTTACAAATATACAAATGTCTCCTCTCCTGCTTTATTGCTGGCTCAGTTTCCTCCTGGACCACCCTTAGTGAGGTCACCTATCACCGAGAATGGCCCGTAGAGTGGTGAATGAAAGCAGGACAAGCAGATACAGGGCAGAGGAGGACCAGAACTCAACATTATTAGGAAAAGCTGGAATCTGTATATTAGATAGTCTTGTGCGCCATGGATGCTTGCAAAGATGCTTTCATGTATGTACAGGCACCTCCTTATTTATGTTAGAAGCTTTTAGGAATTGACAGGTTTACTTTAAGTTGTAAAAAGACTGTAAAGACTAGTAATAAAGGGGTTTTGTGATCAATAAGCGCTTTGCTATTACTCCTTATAAGCCAATGTGGATACATGGAAAATATTTAGGAAACATATCTTGAATGCCTGTGTGCATCCTTTTCAATTCATGAGAATGATTTGCTTGAGGAAATTATTCTTACTGGTTTAAGGGCATGGAGGCTGTTAGCACATGCAGGCTTCCTGCTTATTGGGGCTGTATAGTGATTGTGCTTTACTATTCCTCCTTCAAGTTCTGTTAGAAACTTTAAAAAAAATAGACTCTCCATGACTTGTCCCATTATCTCTGCAGGTACCGACTACTTCCCAATTTATAAAGGTCACTATCAGGAGAGTATGAATTTAAAACCATGACTATAGGAGACCAGCAAGCGACAGCAAAAGTTACAACAATGGACTTGTGGAAGAGGCAGAGGTACAAACTAACACTGGGGAATCTCGCTATTGGAGACTCCAAAATGTAAGGCAAGAGCTGGTAACTCAACCCAATGTTGCCCATCCCAAGCTAGAAAATGTCCAGGTAGAGTTGGCCTTTAATGAATCGTTGCTCAGTGTCCAAACTTTAACTTGGGTTTCTACCATGGATCTCTAAGTGCTCACTTCCACAGAGTGGGTTTCCACTTAGAGATCCATGCTGGAAACCCAAGAAATAAGAACTTACTTAATGATACTATAAGCCTGAGGACTTGATCAAGTTTGGACGCTGAGCAACGGTTCATTTCTGGGCTTTCTGGGGAGGAAGGGATTTCTTGGCGACCAGGGATTGTGTACCAGGAGCGGACTGACCATTTGGAAACTCGGGCACTGCCCGAGGGCCCGGGGTCAGTAGGGGGCCCCATGAGATGCCCCTGGTACCTTTTTCTTAGGCTTTGAGTTTGGGCAAGGATACAGGGGCCCCATGATCCCCTATTGCCCGGGGGCTCCATGAGTTGTCAGTCCGCCCCTGGTACCATGTGGATGTATTTGTAGTTTACACATTGCATCTTGTGTTAAAACAATATTTGGGGTTTATTTTGGTATTATAGTGCACAGAGTTGGCCTTTACACATGTTGCAGACTTTACTTAGGCAGCCCCATTTTCATTTGGGTCAAAGACAGGATCTGCTATAAAAGAAATGTGTATACTAAATAATACGTGTGATTAAAGGGTGTCTGCAGACCAAGTGTTGGGTTGTCTAAAGGGATCCCATGGGAGTTTAGACTGGATGACCTGTTATGGTGAACAGCGGGGTGCAATGAGTGTGCAGGATTAGGAAGGATACACTGCAGTGATGGCCCAATAGGCGATACAGAGACACACCAGCAGGAAGGTGAACAAAGGGAAAACCAGGGAGCACATCACATGGCCAACCGCTCTGTGGAGAGAGAAGAGACATATCAAGATAAAATTTTGGAACTATTTCTGGACACAACATACATTTTAAAGCAGAGCTCAACTTACCTTCCCTCAAGAGTCACTGTCATTTGCTGGCATCCTCTGCCAAGTAACAGTCTTTGGTCATCTTCAATGGCTGGCACAGCACGGGGACTGTGCAAGCAAAGTAATCTGAGCTGCGCATGCACAGCCAAGTTTACATGCCGAAAAAGACAGCAAGCAGGAAGGAAGGTGTATTTTATTGCAGAAGCGACATTACATGTCTCTTCTGCACTAATGAGCCTGCCTGTTTGGATTCTAAAGGTCCACTGCCCCAAACTACTATGTGACCATTAAGCAAAACTAGATCAGCCTTTCTTAACCAGGGTGCTTTTAATATGAACACCTTTTTTAGGGCCGTTCATAAAAGTGGCATCGCTATGGGGGTGCAGACTGCACCCGGATGACATCCACCAGAGGGGTGACACCAGGGCCGGTGCCAACATAAGGATTCAGATTTTTAAACTACTTGTTTTTCTTTACATATGGTGGGGTAGAAGTGGCACCCCTGAACACCCAAGTCCCAGAAGGCCGATCCTCACGCGTGGGCCTGCGCAGTCATAATGTGCCACAGATCTAGGATATGGCAGGAGGCTAGCAGTCATTGGTTGCTAGGACCGCTGGTATCCTATGGTACCCCATGACATGCTTTGCACAGAAGGAGGAAAGTTAGTCTGTGCAGAGCAGTTCTGCCTCCCAGCTCCACCTCCCAGCTTCGGCCCCTGACTCCAGCTCCTGTTTCCTGCCTCCAGTCATGCTGCTCCTGTCGTGCCAGACAGTAAGAGTCCCCTCCTGCTCTGAGGCCGCTCTCACCAAGTATCCAGACATATATTCTCTACAACAGCAAACTCCTGACTCTTCTGCACAATGCCCAGTGTATAGTATAGTGTGTGTTCAGGTGTCCTACTGTCACTTTGCCCACTGCCTGTGACACTGCCCTCCCTCCTATCATTCTGCCCCCATTACCCCCCTTTCTCGTGTCACATTGACTCGTGCCTGACATACTGCTCCCCTGTTGTCAAACTGCCCACATTACATTATGATGGGGGTATTTGTAATTGTAATGGGGGAATACTCTGGGGTAATTCTAACGGGGGTGGGGAGATTATGGGGTAATTAGAACTATGAAGTGTTGTAATGTAGGGTAGTTATAATTGGGGAGGGGGGGGTCCAGGATATTTATGATGGAGGATGGGAGGTTGCAGGGTAATTATTATTGGGGGGGAGGTGGGCAGTATTACAAAGAGATTATTTGTAACAGAGGAGGAGGTAATTATATGGAAGGGGGGGGGGGGAAAGGTAATTGCAAAATTATTGGGGGTATGACACGAACCCTAGTGACGCCACTGGTTCATAATAGCGGCAAGGACTGATGATTCTCTTAAAAGCAAGCCATGTTCAGATTGCTTTTCAGAGGTATTTGACAGGTGGTGAAGAGTTGACATGTTGCCTCTTGAATGCCTGTTTGAACCCCCTAAATGCAGCTGCATCATGCCACAACCTGGTGCAATACCCCACATTTGCATTAGGTATGTTTCCTGCGCACCAACAGCATCTGTAAAACCCCGGCTGTGATCCAATGCAGCTAAAGTTGGAGCGGTTGAGGGACAGTAAATGGCTCATCCGTGTGGTTTTCCCTTCCCCAAACCTCAAAATCTGAACAAGCCCCTCGTTCACATCTGTGCGCACATATCAGGAATATCAGATATCAGGCCACACAAAAAAAAAAATAAACGCACTGCGTTTACCAATGCATGGGGGTACCTTTAAGAATTAATAGCACCCTGTGCGTCTGCTAAAAAGCAGGAAATTTGTCTGTGTGTTAAAATGTGCATGATTTTGTGTGCATTGAGACTGAAGATACTTTGCCAGGGTGCCGTGACTGGGAAAAAATAAATAAATAAATAAAAAAATGGTTGAGAAACACTGGTCTAGATTACGACTTGTCATGATTTATCAAACAGTGACACTTTCCACATCCCTCCACAATGTACAATGAACCAGCAACAGTTTTCTGCTCCCACAGAAGTGGCAAACACTCTTCTTAAGCTTCTGAAATAATGACAGTTGGGGTGAATTGGTTGATACAGGCAAAAAGAAACATTCCCTGGTTACATTTCGCACCCAAGGGAAGAAGCTGAAGTTTTTTTTTTGTTTTAACCTATGTGAGAAGTGACCAAATTCCAAAAAAATAAGCAAAAATATTGTGTATTAATCACAAACCACTCCGGACATGAAGGTAGCCGGGTACTGCCCATTTCTAGTTGTCTCACAGCCGTGAAAATGTACACCACCACATAGATCAGGAAAAGCACCATTCCTGGCCAGAGGAATGTAAAATGGGCCACAACAACCACCCCTGCTTACCTGCTGGCTTCTTTAATCAGTGCAATGGCAATCATAATCCTTTTCCTGAGAAAGATGAGGATCAGAATAATAACCACCTCCAGGATGCATAGAATAATCACTGTACAAAGGAGAAGTGCAGGATTAGAGTTGTCCCTGCATACACACAGAAGCAGGACCAGTCACTCAGTTCTATCCAGTGCAACCACTACCATTTTCTGTGCACACGAAACCTATCCTTCTCATGTCTCTAGCAACCTATACGCACCTTGTACTATCCCATGATATCTCCAGAGCATGCAATACCTCTCTACCCCACCTCAGAGTGCTAACCCCTCCTATCAAAAACGTTACCTGCACCCACACAGCGCCATTTTCTACCACCAAAATAACCTGTACCCAGTGTGTCAGCCCCTCTTACTAACATAGCCTGTATCCCCAAGGAGTGCCAGCCTCTCCCACCATCAACCAAACCTATACCAGCACAGTGCCAGCCCCTCCCACCATCAACCAAACCCATACCAGCACAGTGCCAGCCCCTCCCACCATCAACCAAACCTATACCAGCACAGTGCCAGCCCCTCCCACCATCAACCAAACCCATACCAACACAGTGCCAGTCCCTCCTACCACCAACCAAACCCATACCAGCACAGTGCCAGTCCCTCCCACCATCAACCAAACCCTTACCAGCACAGTGCCAGCCCCTCCCACCACCAACCAAACCCATACCAGCACAGTGCCAGTCCCTCCTACCATCCACCAAACCCATACCAGCACAGTGCCAGTCCCTCCTACCATCCACCAAACCCATATTAGCACAGTGCCAGCCCCTCCCACCAACCAAACCCATACCAGCACAGTGCCAGTCCCGCCTACCATCAACCAAACCCATCCCAGCACAGTGCCAGCCCCTCCCACCATCAACCAAACCTATATCCACACAGTGCCAGCCCCTCCCACCACCAACAGAACCTGTACCCACACACTGCCAGCCCCTTCTAAACATCAATCTAACCCCTTCCCACAGTGCCAGCCTCTCCAAGCATCAATCTATCCTATACCCACACAGTTCCAACCCTTTCTACCGCCCATCTAACCTGTATGTACAAAGTGCCAACCCCTCCTACCACCAACAGAACCTGTACCCACACAATGCCAGCCCCCTCCTACCAATCAATCTAACCCCTTCCCACAATGCCAGCCCCTTCCTACCAATCAATCTAACCCCTTCCCACATTACCAGCCCCTCCTACCACCAAAAAGAACATGTACCTACACAGTGCCAGCCCCTCCTACCATCAATATATCCTGTACCTACACAATGCCAACCCCTTCTACTGCCCATCTAACCTGTTAGCACACAGTGCCAGCCCCCTCCTGCCACCAACAGAACCTGTACCTACACAGTGCCAGCCCCTCCTACCATCAATATATCCTGTACCTACACAGTGCCAGCCCCTCCTACCATCAATATATCCTGTACCTACACAGTGCCAGCCCCTCCTACCATCAATATATCCTGTGAAAGTGGAAAACCCAAATACTCCTGCGCTTAGGGATGGACTCTAAAGTCATAGGGATCACATAACGAATGTCTTGGAATATGCATGCCTTTCTGCCCTCAAGGAACCGGGGAATCCAAAAGTACTAATAGAGAAAACCAAAACCGAGGGTGCACCAGCCTTGTGCATTACCTTTTAAAAATATGTTTACTAAATTTAAAAGAAGGTATTCTACTCACAAAAGTACATGAAAATAAGCACATCATATGAGACCGCTCTGTTCAATTTGCACTGCGTTTCTGAATGGTGATGAGAATAATGGACATCCAAAATGGCTGACGCGTTTGGAAGACTAGCTTCTAGGGCTCTGAGGAAGAGACTAGTCCTCAAAACGTGTCAGATATTTTGGATGTCCACCATTCTCATCACCATTCAGTAACGCAGTGCGAATTGGACAGAGCGGGTCTCATATGATGTGCTTATTTTCATGTACTTTTGTGAGTAGAATACCTTCTTTTAAATTTAATAAACATATTTTTAAAAGGTAATGCACAAGGCCGGTGCGCCCTCAGTTTTGTTTTTTCTCCATCAATATATCCTGTACCTACACAGTGTCAGCCCCTCCTGTCAACAGAGCCTGTTCCCACACAATGTCAGCCCCACTTTCCATCAACAGAACCGGTACCTACACAATGCCAGCCCCTTTTACCACCAATGTAACACCCCCCCCATTACTTGTACACAAACAGCTACTCCCGTTAAATATTACTCTAACCTGTACATGCACGGTGCCATTCCCCCCTACTAATACTTAACTGGTAGACAGCTCAGTCGCCTCCCACCTATTTCCATTACATGGACTGTAGACTTACTGAATGCCAGCCACGTCTGCCTCAGGTGTAAGTAGACCCGTAAATCAGTCTGAAACCCAATGTCCTTCAAGCTCACATCCGATCCAGCTGTATCCTTCAACCGAGCATACTCCATGTAGCAGTGGAATATTCCTGCAAGGGACAAAAATTAGCAGATCCTCCATAAAATGGTCCCATTACATTTACAAAAGGTTCAACA